CACCCCCAGCCAGCCATCGACCCACCCCTCATTCAGCGCGAGGCCGGGGGGTGGGGGCGAGGGGGTGGCGACGCCCCAAACGCCGAGCACGTCGCTACTTCGCCCAGGCGGTGGAATCCCGTCATGGCAGCTCCCAGCAGCAGTGACGACGTCCGTCGTCCGGTTTGTTTCGAAGGAAAGATCCGCGCGAGTCCGCGTGCTCGGGTCGCAGAGGCACTGCGAGACGGTCGCGCCCCCTCCCGCGAGTGACCCGGCCGCGCTGTCGGTCTGGACCGCGGAGGCTGGAGGCCTCCCGCCGGGACGACTGTCTGTCTAACCTCATCTTGGCCCAGTGTTTGTGGTCGGAAGTCGATGTCCGTGGTGTGTCAGTGTGGCAGTCCGGAAGCGCTCGCCCCCGCGTCTTGCACTCCTGCCGGTGCTTTGGTGCTTCCGCCTTCGGCTCGTTACTCTGCCCCCACCGTCCGCCGCCGTCGCCGTCCTGTCCTGGACTTGGGGCCGCGACCCCCGCCCGCCGCGCAGCTCGCCGGCGTGCTGCGGCGCCAGTTGGGCTGCCTATCCACCAGGCGCCCCGCGGGGACAGGCGTCACCATCGGGCTGAGGTCCGGCACCCGCTACATTCCGCCAGGTCCATGATGGCGACGAGGTGCGTCCCGGACACGGGTGGTGCACCTCCTGGAATGTCGCCCTCGACCACGTCGTCGCCTCGGTGATGGAGCGTGCGGGCCAGTGGCCGTCCGAGTCCGAGGTGACCCGGGGCCTCGGCCAGGGGGGCGTCTCCAGGCAGCGGGCCAGCGGGGCGTCGTGCCGGGCCAGGGGCGCGGCCTCCGGCACATCCGGGACCCTCGCGGCCGCGGCCACTCCGCTGCGCCGGCGCCCGCCACCGTGAGTAGCATCAGCATCGTCGCCCTTCATGTTCACCCACGCGAGGTGACCCCTACAGCGCAGCGCGGATCGGTAGCACCATCGCGTGAGTCGGAGGAGGGAGGTGCTACACCGTTCGCGGGTTGTGTCTTCTTCTTTCTTTTAACCTGCGCCACCGCGCTCTACGAGGACACTTGTACCGCTCCCGATGGTCTGTGGTCTTGGCTTGGCAGCCCCGTGCTTGGCCGAGTGCGTGGCAGATCCGCTCTCCGCCAGGCCAGACGCGTGGCCAGGGAGCAGTCACGCTGGTCCAGACCTCCTTGAAATGCCCAAAATCATGGAGCACTGGTCAATGTGAAATGCAATTTGCAGCATGGTCATGACCTCCTCCCCCCCCCTACCCCC